TATAGATAAATAGATATATAGATTTAAGATATATAGATATAAAGATATATGTATATTTAATATAGAAATATAGATAGATATATATATATATATACATATATATATATAGATATATATATATACATATATATATATATAGATATATGGTGGTATATAAATAAATATATATATATATAAAGAGAGAGAGATATATAGAGATATTTATATAGATATATAGATATATAGATATACAGATATATATATATATATCGATATACATAGAGATATAGAGATATCGATATATATATATATAGACAGATAGATATAGATAGATAGATAGATAGATAGAGAGATAGATAGATAGTTAGATAGATAGATAGATAGGTAGATAGATAGATAGATATATATATAGATATATATGTATATAGGGATATATAGAAATATATAGAGATATAGATATATATAGATATTTAGATAATTATATCGATATATGATATACATAGATATATAGATACAGCCATAGATGTAGATATAGATACAGACATAGATAGACATAGATAGATATAGATACGTAGATATAGATAGATATAGATAGATATAGATGGATATAGATGGATAGAGATAGATATAGATAGATGTAGATAGATACAGATAGATATAGATAGATATAGATAGATTTAGATAGAAATAGATAGATACAGATAGATCTTCCTTCCTTCCTTCCTTCATTCCTTCCTTGCTTCCCTTCCTTCCTTCCTTCCTTCCTTCCTTCCTTCCTTCCTTCCTTCCTCCCCTTTCCTTCCTTTCCTTCTCTTTCCTTTTCCTTTCCTTCTCTTTCCTTTTCCTTTCCTTCTCTCCTACTAGTTGCTATTGTTTTTAGACCGAATTTTTTTTTGATCCGGAAAAAAAATCTTGATCCGGAAAAACTTTTTCTTGATCCGGATTTTTTTTTTAACCCCTCCCCCGAATTTGAGGGACCCTCGGCCTGTTGTGGTGTAAATTTGCCTGCATTACAAAAAAAAACAACTTTACTTTGAGTGATCCCCACCCTGGCATTTCAAGCCATATATTCTGACATATATTTTGACATTTTATCTAACACTCTATCTGAATCTATCTGACATCTATTCTGATATTCTATCTGGCATATCTTCCAGCATTTTATCTGGTATATATTTTGGCGTTCTTATCTGGCATATATTCTGGCATTCTATGTGGCATTCTTTCTCGCATATATTTTGGCATTCTATGTGGCATTCTATGTGGCATATATTCTGGCAGTCTATCTGGCATATATTCTGGCAGTCTTTCTGGCATATATTCTGGCATTCCATCTGGCCGCTGAGGTCCAGAGGTGCCCACTGAGCTCGGAAGGTCAGGTTGAGGTCCAGCGGTGCCCACGGAAGGTCCCTGGTTGAGGTCCAGCGGCGCCCACTGCGCTCAGAACCTTGCGGTTGAGGTCCAGCCGTGCCCACTCAGATCGGAAGCCGGCAGTTGAGGTCCAGCAGTGGCCACTGCGCGCGGAAGTTGGCAAAGAGCAAAGGGTTGGCAAGGCGGAAGTGGACGTGGAAGTGGAGGCAGAGGTGGTGGAGGAGAAGGAGGAGGACCAGGAGGAGGTGGAGGAGAAGGAGGAGGAGAAGGAGGAGCCGGAACAGCTGTGATAAAATCTAACAACCCTCACCTGGCAGGTGGGGAATAAGAATTTGAGGGACCCTGGGCCTCAAGTCGGATTCTTAACCAGCGCTCGGGCTGTATAACCCAAGTGGGTCCAATGGATGATGCTATTGGCAAATGAGCTAACATATGCCCCCCCCCAAAAATCACCATCTGGTGTACCCCGGAGGGTCCTGTCCTGGAAAATAACTACAGTAGCTTAAATTGGCGGGTCCTGACCTTTCTAGCTGGAATTTCCGTTCTAAGACGAATGAAGCTTGCAGGCACTAACGTCCTGATGCCTAAGGTTTCCAGAAAGGCACGTGTTCTCCTCAGGTACCACATGAATTCCTGGGTGCTCCTCAGTACCCCCGAAAAATCAAAAGCGCCCGGTTCGAATGTTTCTAGCCCATGACAGATTCGAATGGGTGACATCTGAAGAAGAACACCCAAACAGAACTAGACAGACGACGGTTGGCCCGAGAGCGAAAAAGATGTTTTTCAAGCAGCTCTGAGGATGGTAGTCGTAAAAGATAGTCGGTGAATGGTTGGTGATTTTTATATGAGCTATGGAGGGATAAGGTGTGAAAAAAGTAAGGTTGATTAAGAAGAAGATACTTGGTAAAGGGCATCAGATGACACGTGTCTTGACAAGGTGAGAAAGAGGGGGAGAGAGGGGGAGAGAGGGGGAGAGAGAGAGAGAGAGGAAGGAAAGGGAGATAGAAAGAAAACATGAAGAAATATAATGTGAGCAACAAAAGTGCACAGGAGGCTCGGTACCGTGATGCTGCAAATGACATGTGTTATCGCATTTTACTATGGTAATTCCTACACACATTGCCGAAAAAGCTCGGCACCATCATTCCGTGGATGTGAAGAAACGCGACGCTTTTATAGAGAGATGCTTTTACACACAGACGCTTTTACACACAGGAGCTTTTACACACAGACACTTTTACACAGAGACGCTTTTACACGCACAGAAACTTTTACGCACAGACGCTTTTACACACGGACACTTTTACGCACAGGAGCTGGAGCTTTTACACAGAGACACTTTTACACACAGACGTTTTTACACACAGACTCCTTTACACACAGACGCTTTTACACACAGACACTTTTAAACACAGACCATTTTACACACAGACGCTTTTACACACAGACACTTTTACACACAGACCATTTTACACACAGACGCTTCTACACACAGACGCTTTTACACACAGAAGCTTCTACACACAGAAGCTCTTACACACAGAAGCTTTTACACACAGAGGCTTTTACACGCAGACTCCTTTACACACAGACGCTTTTACACACAGACCATTTTACACACAGACGCTTTTACACACAGACGCTTTTACACACAGACTCTTTTACATACAAACGCTTTTACACACAGAACCTTTTACACACAGACGCTTTTACACACAGAAGCTTTTACACACAGAAGCTTTTACACACAGACCCTTTTACACACAGACGTTTTTTCACACAGAAGCTTCTACACACAGAAGCTTTTACACACAGAAGCTTTTACACACAGAGGCTTTTACACGCTGACTCCTTTACACACAGACGCTTTTACACACAGACGCTTTTACATACAGACCCTTTTACACACAGACGCTTTTACACACAGAAGCTTTTACACACAGAAGCTTTTACGCACAGAAGCTTTTACACACAGAAGCTTTTACACACACACACAAACACTTTCACACACAGAAGCTTTTACACACAAACACTTTCACACACAGAGACCGGACCCGTGAAATCGCAATTTTACCTCAGTTTTTGACGTCCAACGTCCATTTCGTGCGAAAGGGTTGCGATGGACTAACTAAAATCGCAATTTTACCTCAGTTTTTGACGTCCAACGTCCATTTCGTGCGAAAGGGTAGCGTTTCGTGGCGCTCCGGCGGCACCGCCCCCGCCTTAAGAGAGAGATAGAAAGAAGAGCGAGGAGATCTGCAGATGTGAAGGTGTGAAGATGTAGATCTGCAGGTGTGAAGGTGTGAAGATGTAGATCTGCAGATGTGAGGGTGTGAAGATGTAGATCTGCAGATGTGAGGGTGTGAAGATGTAGATCAGCAGATGTGAAGGTGTGCAGATGTAGATCAGCAGATGTGAGGGTGTGAAGATGTAGATCAGCAGATGTGAGGGTGTGAAGATGTAGATCAGCAGATGTGAAGGTGTGAAGATGTAGATCAGCAGATGTGAAGGTGTGAAGATGTAGATCAGCAGATGTGAGGGTGTGAAGATGTAGATCAGCAGATGTGAAGGTGTGAAGATGTAGATCAGCAGATGCGAGAGTGTGAAGATGTAGATCAGCAGATGTGAGGGTGTGAAGATGTAGATCAGCAGATGTGAGGGTGTGAAGATGTAGATCAGCAGATGTGAAGGTGTGAAGATGTAGATCAGCAGATGTGAGTGTGAAGATGTAGATCAGCAGATGTGAAGGTGCGAAGATGTATATGACGGCTGCTTTTTTACGAAGAACCCTTCGCAGGCGCTCTCCGGAAAAAAACACCGGTTTTGCAATTTGCGCGCGCGTTGGCACAAAATTCTTGAATTTGTCCCATCATATCTCATCTATGATGACTGTCTACGTTGTGGCTTAATCAAAAACTGAGGATTGGCTTGGTGATGTGACTTTTTTCCTGTGGGGGCCAACCTTTGAAGATCAACCGCAAAAAAGGTCCGGCCCCTTGGAGTTTATTTTTGACACCTGCAGGTGGGGCTGAACATATGTGTTTGCATCTTTTTTGAAATTACAAGTATATTTTCAGCAAAAGATGCGCGTCTTTCAACTTTCAACTTTCAAGGTGCTTGCGCCATGCGCACCCACTTGAGTGCTGCGGCGCGTGATTTGGTTTGAATTTCAGGCTCACAAAACATAAAAGCACTGCTGAAATGGAAAACACCCCTCGTGCAAGAGTGGACCAGCAGAATTCTAAATACAGAAATACAACAAGCGGTAAAACGGAGGAGGAAAATCAAAAGAACGGACACTAAAGCAAAAGTGCATTATGAAGGAGCATTGTGTGAAACGAAAACTACGTCATCACTCTCACTGCTAGGAACCAGGATGGCAGTACGTCGAATTTGTCTGCGAAAACGTGTTCTGAAATATCGGTGGGCGGCATCCAACAAAGACCTGCACTGAGCACTTCGAGTCAGGTTCAGCCACATGTTAGGGGTTTGTTCAGCAGTCCGGCGTTCTTGCACAATTTCGTTGCTAATGATCAAGGTAAGTCTTGCAAGGTTCTTCCAAAAGAAATTTTGCTGAATTCTCGTCAATGAAGGCAACCTGTTCACAGCGTCAAAAATACATACCTCATTGATTTCTCCCAACAATTCCGCTAGCGCCCTTGTGAATACTTGTCGTTCCCTTTCTCCACGGGCGCAATCTGTAAGAGCATGCCTCTCATTGCCCAAAGCATTGATAAAAACCAATCTGTAACAACGTTTGCAAATTCTTTCGTGTTGGGGTTTTCTTTCGTATCTGCCAATTTCTATTTCCAGACAATGGGAAGATAATAGCCACCTAAAGAGAGACCTGCCGGCTGCATCGCCAAATGTAACACCAAAGGCTCTTGGGGAATCAAAGGTGGGAATAATATCAAGAAGGAAGCTGTACTTGCCATGTGACAGCGAATGTTGAAGTTCACCAACAGCTTTTGCGTAGCATCGGTCAAAAATGTGTTGTTTCCAATGTTTAGCCTCCTGCGCGCCCCATGTCAGCACAACGTCCATCCCGCCCAATTCATTCAAGATACTAACTCCGCGGAAAAATTGAATCATATCGTGGTACCAGCCTTTCTGTTGTTGAACGCGCATAAGTTTCCAGTGAGACATAGCTGATTGTTCCAAGACATCCCCAAACTCCAACACTGAAATCAAAAAATCATACGCAAGTTTGGCTGCATCTACCCATAACGGCAGGATACCTGCCAACCATATGTCCTTGATCTCCTTCTTGAAGAGATCTTTGAACTCATCCAGATCCTTTGTCATCGTAGTGCCAGCCGCCACCTCGATGAGCTCTCCAATGAAACCTGGATCCGACTTTGCCACAAGCTTCATGGCTTCATCCTTGTAGTCAAGCTCACGGCAAGCCACGCAGAGCAAAGCGGCATCAAAAAAGGACCTGTCCAATTTGGCTTCTGCAAGGATTTCTGTCACCTTAGTTGCCTTGTCAGTCTTGTCCATGATGCCGTAGACATCCCCTGCTTTGAGCACGGTCTTGAACTCATCAAGGGTGCTGACTTTCTTTGTCAAGCTGGCAAACTTCTTCTTGATAATCCCCTCGACCGTTAAGCCGCCCAAGACGTCCACCAACTCTTGGACTCTCTGTGCGTCTGTCTTTGGCTTCATGCCCAAGGTCCCAAGCTCGAAGCTGATGGACAAGACCTCAGCTGCTGTCACAGGCATCTTCCTTTTGTAGTTCTCGATCAATTTGGTTGTCACCTGGTCTGGGAAACCAAGGGACTTGATTTGGTCGCCGTCCATCTTGCTGAAGACGGCTGACAAGGCACTTGCGTTCTCCACCAGCATCTGCTGAAGCTCTTCAACATCTTCAGTCCCATCTGGCTGAAGAAGGATCTCTTCACCAGACATCTCTGTCACCTTCTCGCCCATGAAGATCAGGGATTGGAGCTGCTTAGCCACGTCCGTCTGGACTTCATCAGAGTCCACTCCCACAATCTTCATGTTGGACAACAATTTCTTCAGCTCCAAGAAGGATTCTGTTTTGCCATTGAAGAGCTCAGTTGCGCATTGCATGATTGCCTCCAGGAAGTCCTTCGCACTGATTCCTTCGAACGGGATGAACCCCTCGTGCCCAGTCACATCGACCAGTGTCTTGTACAACTCCTTGGGCACAAGCATTGGGAACCTCTTTGAGTTTTTTGCTCTCTGTTGAGCTTCTTTGGCTGCCTTGCTTGCATTGGTCACCGAGTCTTTCTTCATCACAGCCTCCGAGGACCAGCTCAGGATGGCAGTTTCCTCGTCCGCCTTCATCTTTTCAATTCCCGGGAAAACCTTCTCGATGTTGTAGATCACGTCCAAGGCACTGCTCGTGGGTGAGCGATCGGAGAGCGAGAGCAGCAAGTGAGAGGTCAGTGAGGTCATCCTGATCGTGTTGTTGCTGACATGGTAGGAGCGGTACTTTGCATATGTCTTGTCGTTCTTCAGCTGGGACACAAGGAAGCTCATTCCAAAATATGCACCCTCCTTGACCTTGTGCTTGTAAGGGGCTCCCATCAGTGCACCCTTAAGCGCAGTCACAGGGAAGTCGGTGACGAGGGCCGACAATTCAAAAATCAAGAAAGAGTTCAATGACCCCTCCCTCATCGAAGCCACCACACCCTCCATGTCACTCATGGGGTTGGAGCCCTGGTAGGACACTAGCTCCCGGAGCAATGCCATGTCCAACCCTTCTGTGGTTCTTTTTGTCAAGCCCATGGTGGCCACTTGGTCCATCAGTGCCTTCACCGAATCATCACCAACAGCTTCCATCCTCTCTCTGACGAAGCAAGAAGTGTAAGTTCCCGTTTTTCTGACGTGTTGTTTTCACAAAGAGGGCTCTCCTTTGTGTGTACCCTTGAGCCAAAATGGCTACGAATTTTGACACAAACTTCTCGAATTTGTCCCTCGTGTTACATCGTCTGGATGAAGGTCTACGTTGTGGCTTAATCAAAAACTGAGGATTGGCTTGGTAATGTGACGTGACTTTTCTCCTGTGGGGGCCAACCTTTGAAGATCAACCGCAAAAAAGGTCCGGCCCCTTAGATTTTATTTTTGACACCTGCGCCTCGACCTCTTCAAGTCACTTTTTTGTAGGTGGAGCTGAGCATTTGTGATTGTTTCCTGTTGCAAGGAGAAATGTATCTTCAGCGTTATAAACATTCTACGGAGGCAAATTTTACTTCTAACAACTTTCGGCATGTCTGAGCTGGAGCAAGAGGAAACAAAATACCAGTGCAGCTGGTGATCTTATTGTCCCAATTAGAATAGACATGTGTGGGGCTACCTCATTTCAAACAAACCCAAATCCAGCTACCTTTGTCCACAAAATACTGGACCAGATTTCTTTTCTGATGTTTGACCTATGTAAATCCGGCATTATACCAGCTCATATCCTTGTTTCTCTTGTTTCCAACCGTGTGGCTTTAAAACATACCTCCTCAAACAATCAGAGGTCATTTTTTCCTGGGGTTTGACATACATATATGTTCGAATGAACTCACCCTCATGAAGAACGTGACAAAGTTATTGTCCTGTTGCCGGACATTTGAACATTTTTTTTTCCTGGGCTCGAAGGGACGCATGGATGTAACATATGCAAATCCGTGATTTCAAGATTTTAATTTTGGTAGTAAACTCCGAGGAAACAAAATCTAGATGTTGAGATGGGGATTTAAAACATAGGTCGGATTTTACTCTACAAACCATATTTTGGGTTTTATTGGGGGATTACTGGTGGATAATCACCGGTTTTGCCAAGCAAAAAACCATCGGGTCGTCAAGGGACAACTTTGGCTCATGATGATCTCGGCTCCATAGTGCAACGCCCAGGCCCCTCGCTCTGGTGATGTGATGCCTGGCCATTGCACCAATGGAGCTTGCTTCCGGAGCATGATGATGCCAACGAGAAACATGGGAAAAATCATTCCTTTTCTTGAAAAAGAAAGATTGCCCCAATTGAAATTCATAGAAACTCCAATGTGTTGGATTCCTTTTTATTTGGGGGTCCCAACTATTGGTGGTGCTTGAAACAAGGGGGAGGGGAATGTCCCACATTATCCCATCTGTACATATGATCTACTCAGAAAATCACCATGCAGAAGACCGGCGGGCATGTGCAGTGGAAAAGAATGGTGATTGGTACAGGATCCAAAAGACACCTATATAAATCACAAGTTTCCCAGTGTTTATTGGTCACATCACCATTGTTGTTGGACAAAATCCACCATGGTGGCTCAATCAAATCCGCATGTCTTGGGTGGTGGTGAGCACCAATTCTGGCGATTAAACCCGCACAAAGGTGGCTCAGAAATATGAAAGTCACTGGGAGCCATTGTCCCAAATGATGACTTATCCTAGATGCCAGCGCACTGCAAGAAGATACAGAGAGGTTACATATATATATATATATATATTATATATATATATATTTATTGACTGTACAGCTGGGTAGTCCATAAGCCATTTACGGCAAATATACTTGCTTATTGAAACATGATGAAGATTTGTAGAAACGGGCATTACACGCCGCAGTTCCTCACTTGCAAACCCGCACTTTACCTCAGTCAGTATTTATATTCAATGAAACAAATCAAAAGGGAAAGCAAAAGGGAACAACCTCAACGACCTCCACTTTCACATAGGGAACAAATAAACAATTCTCACCCATGCTGAACTTTCCATTCATTTAAGATGTCAAAAGGGGAAAAAAAGGGAACACCAGTTACTTACATTTTGCAGGGTACACAAAACAACGAAAAATACATGTCCGCCACAGGTCTATGTCACCTGACCTGAGGATATGAAACCAAAACAACGGGCACAGCACAACTGCTGGCTGTAAACACAACGCCGAGCATGACCTCGTTGCAGGAGGGAGATCTTTTCATCCGCCTTGCTGTTTGGTTTCCTGAGTGAATCCAGGATTCAGTAGGGCGAATCCACTTCCGGGCACTATCAACCCATAACTACTGTTACTGGGTGAACGATCAAGCACTCCCCCGGGGGGCCCAAAGGGTAATAGTTGAAACTCTCACCACTCGGACCTTGTGGGGCAGGTCATCCCGAACAAGGGAAAAAGCTTTCAGGAATTGATAAACACAGCCCACAGCCACTCTGATATATACTTTGGTGATGATGATGATGATGATGCTGTTGATGATGATGGCAGTCTCAAAGGTACCAGTTTTCCTTCAACTGCAAGGGCTGGCCTTCCACCAAGAGACGCCCACTCCAAATCGTCCTGACAGTCCATGAGCTCTCCAAATCTTTTTCTCCTGAAGAGGTGGGGGCCGAGGTGGTACCCGAATCGTACCCTAAGATAGCTGTTTTATGGATGCTTATTCACCAAATAAGGTAATAGATTTCGACCATCCCCATGTGAGGATACAAATTTGAAAGTGATTCCGTGATTCACACCAAACAGACGAAGATGCGAAGCAACTCGCAGCCGCGATTGTCCGAGCACTACGATAACATACGATAACTTATCACCATGGTTACAGGCCTGCCCTGGCACCCAGATAGGCTCCTCTTTTGAGTCCAAAGGGCCCTCAGTCGGCTTTGGTGAACTATTCCATCGTGATGGGTGAAGCACATCTTTGAAATGACATATATATATATATATTATATATATATATATATATAATACAAGTATAATGATTGTTGAAATGCGGGGTCTCCTTTAATACTTAAATTCTACATCACCCCATTTCTGGAGAAATGTTTTTGGGCATCCGATCAACCTCCTTTTGGCATCCGCCAATGCTGTGGTGACACCCCCCTCGAGGGTCACCCCGAACAAGGCTCTTGGGGTGGCTTCCGATGTCTGTCTGGGTAATTCCTTCCATTCACACCCTCCAATCGAAACCCTTATTCCCGACTGGATATGCTCATGTTTGATCATTTTTGTTTTTGTTTTAGTGGATACATGGAAATTTATAGGGATGTTAGGGAGGTACCAGTACTAGCTCAAAACCAACCCTTCTTGGCAGCTGGAGAACTCCAGGGCCTTTTCCCCAAGCCCCTGGGAGCGAAGTCACTGAAGCTGCTTCACTTATAAGTGATCGGTGATGGAGTCGTGACATCTTCTGACATCTTGAGAAGTTGGGATATTTTGGGGACATGCACCAGTGATCACCCATTGCTAACCCTTCACAATCCCCTCAAATCAACACATTGAGGAATCAGAAACCTGTTCTGTTTGCTGGTTGGGCCCCAATTTGAAAGGTGCCGGTCAACTGGGTGCCAGGGTGGGCAATCTCGCAATGTTTTGAAACCACAACCCAACCCGAAAAAAGTCCACATCTTCCAAGGCATTCCAAAACGAAGCTTCTGATTCTTGATGAACACGTCTGACGCCGGGCAATTGCAGAACTCTTGCCACTCTGCAACCTTTGAATCAACCTTTTCCTTGCGGGAAATGGACGCCCATCCGGCGCGGACTGGGTCACGGGTCACGGGTCACGGTTGAACCGGACCTGCAAGTTGGTGGTTTTAATGGGGGCTTCCAAGCTTGGATAACAACTGGTTGGTGGTTGACCTAATGCTCTGAAAAAATATGAAAGTCAGTTGGGATGATTATTCCCAACTGAATGAAAAAATAAAATTCATGTTCCAAAACAACCAGAATTTGTCATTTGTTTTGGACCCAATGGCTGATTATGATAAATCTTCAGCGCTGTGAAAAATGGATCCAAATTGAGTGTGAGTGATACCAGTAGTGGACATGCCACCGCTTGGTTTGGAATGCTCAACAACTGAGGAATCCGCATAGATCCAAACAACCCTGACGTCCTTCCTTCAAGAACAAATCGATTGAAAAACCAATGGAAAAACACACATCTTCCCAAGGACATGGCATTGGGAAAATCAGCTGCCGCATGTCACCCATCCAAGACATTCCAAGACCCCCCAAAGCCTTGAGCTGTTGGAGGAACCTTCTACTGGGAGGTGCTTTCTGCCCTGCTTTCTCTTCTTTCTGCCCTTGTTTGTTGGTGTTGCTGTTGCTGTTCATCAGCTCAGCCAACGATTTGCAAAGCCTTGCCGTGGCGTCGACAAGCTTTGCCGTCATTTTTGGGGGATTCACGGCCATGAAATGATGA